CTATGCAAATGAGGTGATTGTGGTCTACCAAGGGATTGGTCAGCTTACTAATAATGCAAATAAGGTGAATGATACCCTTGGGGATGGTCCGACGCAAATAAGGCATATGAAAGTCTAGACAAGGGATTGGTTGATTTTTGTCCTCCTCCTCCTCCTCCTGAGGTTTCAAAGAGCCAATAGGAAAAGACAGGAGGAGAGTTTTTTTGGATGTAGGGTCTCTGTGCTGGCAACCTCCTAGACCCGGAGACAGGCTGTGGCACTGAGGACGATGAAGCATGGTGAGAAGCACAGCAGGAAACAGCAGCATCAGAAGCAGCAGGAGAGGCAGAGTGGGTTTCAGGCGGTTGTGGTGGAATTAAACCACTGTGTGGCACTGAGCAGAGACCAGGCCAGTTCAAAAGTTCCCAATGGGTTGTGGGGGCAGTGGGGGGGGCAGGGAGAGGCCTCTCTGCAGGCATCTTTGAGAAGAATCGGATCAAAGAACTGTATCCTGAGTGAGTTCTGATCCAGAATTGTAACCTGTTACTTCCTAAGTAAACCCCAAATGGCCCATGAATTCTGTGCAGCCATTGGGATGAGTCATCCCACCCAGGAGAGAAGTAGGGAGTGCCTTGGGAGAGACAACTGGTGTTGGAATTGATTTTAAAAATTTTTAAAAAGCCGAAGGGTAGAGACATGTCTGAAGTTAAAAGCACATATTGATGGTCATTCTCTCTCCCCTTCTTGAACTTGGAAAAGGTTAGGCATTGCTGCCAGGCCTTTATTCCAGTTAAGACTCACCTCTCTCTCTGAAGACTCCTCACCGGGGAGCACAGAGGATGGAGAGCCAGACTCGGGGTTCGGGGGTGGTTTCTGGGGACCTCCCAGACCTGCCAGCGTATCTTCCATCATCCACAGCTGCTGCTGAACTGATGCTCTGTCCTGCAGGGAAGGAGAGGACGAGGAGGAGGGAGATAATGAGTTTGCTCCTCAGAGCTGTGAAAAGGCAAAGTGGGGACGGATTCAGGGTAGGACTGCTCCACAGGGTTTACAAGATCTTGAAGAAGTGAGTCACCAGGTCTTTTTTCTGAGGCACCTCGGGGTGTGGGTGGGGTGTTGAACTAATGACTTGAGTGTGTACACTGGTACAGAGAAGAGCTCACAACACAGGGAATCCAGGACAGATAAAGCCCTCGGGACCAATAATGAGAGTAGTGATACTAGAAGGGTAAGGGAATGGAGGGGAGTGAGGGAGAACTGATCACAATGATTTACATATAACCCCCTCCCAAGGGGGCGGACCACAGAAAAGTAGGTGAAGGCAGACATCGGTCAGTGTAAGACATGAAAAAACAATTTATAAATCATCAAGGGTTCAAGAGAAGGAGAGAGGGTGGGGGGAGAGGGAGGAAGAAATGAGGAACTGATACCAAGGGCTCAAGTAGAAAGAAAATATTTTTTAAATGATGATGGCAACATATGTACAGATGTGCTTGACACAGTGTATGGATGGATGGATGGATTGTGATAGGAGCTGTAAGAGCCTCCAATAAATGATTTTTAAAAGGAAAAAATGTATAGAATAAAGTTTCTTTAATATATTTTTAAGTGGATATTAATAAATAAATATCTGCAGAAAAAGATGCACGGTCTTGGACACCCGAGGGGCAGCGCTGCGTGGTCCTTAGTGTCATTGTGAGTTGGAGCTGACTCGATGGCAGTGGGGGGCGGGTAGGGTCTCCCCGAACTATGTTTAATAGATAATCCACAAATCCAGCCTCACATGTTGAAATGACGGTCTCCTCTGTACTGCTGCCGGGAGACACCTGTTATTCCTTTCCTTCCTGCCAGATTCAACTCATGGGGACCCCCCTCCCCTCTCTGGTACCCATCTTTATTGGAATAGATTCTGTTGTGAGCCAGACGATTTTTTTTTTAGTATTATTTTTAAACCGTTTATTGGCACACAATCCACATTATCATGTAATATAGTTCGATCAGAGCCAAAGGATTCTCATTAGCTAATTTTTCAAAGTAGAAATTACAAGCCAGGAGGCAGCACTGACTCCACAACAACGGGATTTGGGTTCGGGCGATGGGGCTTCTGGCTGACGCAGGGCTAGAGGTAAGGGGTGGGGCTTAGAACAGAGTGGGCGTGGCTTAGCATGATAGGAGTGGGGTTAAGGGATGGTGAAGTGGG